GGGATGTTGCTGGGAGATGAGGCCCGATGATTGTTGAAGAGCAGTCCCGTGCTGATGTGAGACGAAGTTGTCACCTTGGTGGTCCGCGATGTTGGGATGTTGCTGCTGTGGTACGAAGCCCGTGCGCTGCTGGGGATAGGAAGTTTGTCCTTGCCTAAGGCCTGGCTGCTCAGAGAGGTTCAATTGCTGCTGCAGAGCAAAGGCAGGCCGTTGTTCTTGTCCGGCAGTGGATGGCTGCGTGATAGTGCGAGGCTGTTGTGCGCCGAAATGGGGATGCTGATAAGGATCTGTGGTGGGTTGCTGCGCCGTGTGCGATTGCCGCTGCGAGGGACCAGAGTATTGTTGCAATAATTGGTTCGGCTGTTGTGGTTGCGAGATGCCTCCAGGATGTGGTTGGTGGGACGTCGAGCCCGGTCCCTGCTGTGCAGCGTGATTCAGGGCGTGCTGCTGTAGCTGAGCGTTCGGATGGGAATGATGATATAGCTGCGGCTGGGGCTGCTGTGACGAAGAGCTGCTGCCATTCGTGTACCCGGCAATGAAGCTAGTCTGTGGTCCCTGGTACGCATGGGCGCCAGCCATTGTGAGAACTGCGGGCGAGGCACGGCTAAGATGGCTGCGGTGTCGCGATCCGGCGCCCATAAATACCCTGCAAGAGATTTCTCTCTTCTCTGCGTCCGTCTGGCGCCCTGCTCGCTTGAATGGGACCAGTCAAGAAATGCTACCCCAGGGCACCACACTCCCACGGGGGCCTGGCAAGGGGTGTAGGTAGGCGCCGGAAGCTGCTTTCGATGCATTGTGGAGGGGTCCCCAGGGGGGATAAATAGTCCGCGTAGTCCTCGAATCAAAAGTGCCGCTGGCTTGCTTGGACATGAACGTTGACGATGGCGAGCCCACCACTTACGTTCCCCCAGAATCCCCACATCATTCAAGTCTGCGCCGCTGTCATCGGTCAGTACAGTGCCCAGATTGGTCAGTTAAGGTCGTACTTGGACTCGCAGGCGCGAGGAAACGATCAGCTGCGGCTGGAGAATCAAGCATTACGGGGAACAATCTCACAATTGCACAATGATATCCAGCAGCTGCGCAGCAGGATCTTTGACTACGAACGAGATGCACAGCAAGCATCTGCGTGGAATCGTACCCAGCAGCAGATTATCGACGCACAGCGACAGCTCGTAGCTAGTCTCGAGCATGACCTAGCTGAGGCGAGGAGTGACACACCTACACAAACATCAACATCGACGCAGACGGAGAGCAACTATGCACCCACCGTTGAGCAGTCTTACAGCGAGTTAGGCTTAGAGCCTGTCAAGGAAGCGGCGGAGGGCAGCGGATGGGAGGACAGCGGGGAGTCGTAGCAGGCGGAGCATAAATACACGCCCGGACTCGCCACTCTCACCTCGCCGATTGCCCTCTTTTAGCTTTTACCCTAGACTACGCTGGTTGTTGGCTTGTACAAATACATTATAATTATAAGTCCCAACGTTGGATGCTCGTGTGGCGATGCGGTTGTCAGTTCGCCGGACTCACCCCCAGCAATTCCCTCCTGCCCGCTCGTACATGGACTGGGCCTGGCAGAAGCTTCGTAAGAAGCGCTCCCCCGATGGCCATCCCCCTTCGCCTGGGTCGATGGACATCCAGATTCAAGCCTTGCGGGGGTTCTCAACCGCGTGCGACTTGACACCAGAAGAAACACAAGCGAAGAAAGCCCCCATTTCCATGGAAGAGCGCATTATTGAGCTGACCCGGGAGAACGGGTCCATGCGTCAGGAGATTGCCTTTTTCCGCGGGTTAGCAGATGCGCTCCAACCATTGCTGCCTGTCATCCAATACCACGTCGACGAGCTCAACTCGGCGATACGCCTCGCAAACGACCGGATTGGCGAGGCCAATGCTCAATGGGATGCCGAAGTAGGGACCGAGCGGCCCATTGGCGGCACTTGAGACCTGCAGTCTTGCGAGCAAAGCCGGTGTGAATGGGCACGGATTTGGCTGGCGTGTTTGAAAGCTACTGGCAGGTTGCTATGAGAACGCCAAGAGGGAAATAGAAGTGCGTTGATTGCAAAGCGCACACAGATACAGGGATAAACAGAATCAGTGCACATCGGGTTAGCCGATGCGTACCCAGCGGCACCGAGTCCACGCAAGGGACATTTGAAGATGTAAATCCGCAGAAGCTATATCATGGACCACGTATCCCTGGCCGTTGCTGACACGGAGTTTTCCGCTGATTGACTGGCACCGACTTCACAGCTACGGCGGCCGCCAAATGGTCACTCTGTGACTGTGTAACCCTCCGTACCCAAAAGTAGACGCCTTCTTTTAGTGGCGGTGACTGGACTTGGCTGCGAGACTGCGAACCCACCAACAGCAATGGCTACCGTAGCAACCAGTGTCTCTACCTACAGCAATATCTGACACCTCGAAAACTGTAATGTCTGTGTTGTGTTCCGACGCGGTCCGTGAGACGTGGTAGTCGACGCACTCACGCAATGGTATTGCAGTACTGTACAGTAACCCAGAACCAAGACCGTAAACAATGTGGCCGACAAGTACAGTACATGGCCGTAGCCGCAGAGTAAATTACGGCACAGGTGAGCGTCTCGCTATGCTCCTGAAGACGTCCTAGCAGCCATTGAATGTACTGTACATAACGCATGTATGTATGTACGCTTGTTAGGCTCCTCTGTGGGCTGTCAGGACAACTGGGAGTCGAATGACTCTGCATGGCCTCAGGCCGGTTGGTGTGGGCGAGTGAGAGCAGATTTGATCCTCCCATGCGAGATGAAAGACTCTGACAGGGGTGATGTAGGACGCGCAATAGCCCTGTCGCCATTATCCCTGAGCACACCACCCCTGGGCGAGCGCGACTTTCTGAGCACACCCTTTCCGAGCAGACCACCTTCTGTCAGAACACCACCTTCTACACGCCATAATCTGGCAGCACCACCTTCTTCGATCGCCACTTTCTGAGGACACCGCATTCCTAAAACGCCACGGTTTGAGCACACCCACCTTCCTCATGCAACACCCCCTCCCCCACCCCCCCGGGCGAGGGGGGCAAACTCCCCCTCTATTGCGACGCTGTATTGTATTGCATCACATTTCGGACCACGACGTTCATGTTGAAGCACTCTCTTAGAGGAGCCACTACAGTACATTTCCCACCTAGAGCAAGCTCGGAGGGCACTGCGCGATGTCGCCGGCATGCGCTGCATGTCCTCTCTGCCGCAGTCTTGGACGTTATGTATTTCTCCCCTGCAAAAGTTGTCCGTGAATCCAGGCCTGCCCTTGCAAGACCGGGACTTGTCTTCTCCTCATGCCATGAGACTCGGATTTGCCGCCTTGATTGCGTCCCTCGCAAGCAATACCGCTGCTGTCGCGAAGGATACGCGTACTTTTGCCGTCCTCCGCTTCACCAACAAACAGCTCACCATTGGTCGTGCCGATCCCATCGTCACTCCGGGCCGGCCCTCACCCCATCTGCACCATGTGTTGGGCGGCAGCGCGTTCAACTTCAACGTCACAGGCACAGATCTCGCAAGGTCCAAGTGCTCCACGGCAAATATCAAGGGAGACAACAGCAACTACTGGTTTCCCTCGCTCTTCTTTAGGGACCCCAAGTCTGGCAAGTATGAGGATGTAGAGATTTACTACGCCCAGGTATACTACTTCTTCGAGCCCACCAATGATGACACCAAGGCCTTTCCGCTCGGACTTAACATGGTTGTTGGCGACGCGAATACACGGTCTCCCCCTGCCGGCGGCGCTACCGGTAATCTCGACCCGTCCAGGGGGCCTCTCAACACAGTCAAGTGGGTTTGTCCACGCAAAAGCTACGTTACCCCATCGTGGCAGGCCGACTCTGATGGTACCAGCGGAGGAATGCCCAATAAGCACAACAAAGCTGAAGGGGTGGGGTTCCCTGATGCGAATTGTGACGAATATGCTTCTCCATTGCGCGCCGACATCCATTTCCCCTCTTGTTATAACCCCCACGCGGGCTTGACCGACTTCAGGAATAATATGGTATATCCATCTAGCGCCGGGGATGGGAAGCTGGACTGTCCAGATGGTTGGATCCATCTGCCACACCTACTTTTCGAGGTTTACTGGAACACACCGCCATTCAGGGACCGGTGGGAGCCTGGTAGGGGCAGGCAACCTTTCGTCCTCTCGAACGGCGATGCGACAGGCTACAGTCTACACGGTGATTTCATGTCAGGGTGGGACGAGAAGCTGCTACAGCACATCATAGACACATGTGACGCGGGTACCAGCGGTATGGACAAGTGTTCCGGCTTAACCTACGGGATTAATCACGACAACACGTGTACGATCCAGAGTCCGGTCATAGAAACCATTAGTGGCGTCATGAATGCTTTGCCTGGGAATAATCCCCCCTCCGGCTGGTTCTACGGCGCTCCCGGGGCGATAGACCGTCCCTCGGAATAGGTACGGTTTCTCGTCGGAGGGTTTGAAATTGGGATGTCCATCAAATTGCGCATCTCATAGACTGTATCTCACAGAGAGTGGTCTTGGATTTGTAGCTCAAGCGATTGCTTTGTAGTCGATGGAAGGGACGCTAGGCTTCTGTTAGTCGCCAAAGGGTTAATATTACAATCACTGGCAAGCTCTCGGTGCCCTGAGGTCGTCTTACAAGCTTACCGCTAAGACGAGTCTCTAGGCATTGCCGCACCAAATAAACTGTTGAAAGAGTGGGTGGACGCTGTTACCAACTACGATCGCGCCCAACTGCCGCTTCTGTGAACTACAGCAGTACTGTACTCCGGTCCACTTCTAGTTCTACTAACAGGTCATGTGCCCGCCATTGCAGTACAATGATAAGCGCCAGCTTCAGAGGTTTCATTCTCTACGGCAGAGCCTCTATCCAACGTCGTTTTCCACGGATCCTTCGGACCAATCTGCCTGAACGGCGCCAAGGAATGCGAGACACTTTCAAGGGCACCGGCTCCCGTAAGGCTCGCTCCGTGCAGAGTATCTTCTCGCTCATAGAGAAGCCTGAAGCACACAGCTCATGAACAAGTTGAAGAAAAAGATCGCGCCGTCCGGCTACACGACTGTCCGCAAGTCTCTCGGCCCACAGATCCAAGGTCTCCGTGGCCTTTGTACCACAACAGCTCCACAAGGAATTCGAAAAAATATCATGAGCCGTATCAACGGCAGAGGTTGCTTCCGCACATACGGCGCTCAGTCGCGCCTGCAGCTGAGATCTTTCTGCGCCATTCAGAGCCAACTCGCCCGGCTCGACGCAAAGCAAAACGGTGTGAAGATGAACGCTGTCGCGCTGTCGCTGTGACACCAGGTAGAGAAAATGTCTCTCGGGCAAAAACTCGTTGAGCACGGCCTCAAGAGCTCTAACGTCAACAGGCGAGGTCGTGGACCCCTCCAGAGTCAAAAGCCTGCCACACCAATGGTTGTGACAAAACGTACGACACCCAGTGTGGTTGCAACAACAAAGCTCGTCGTCCGAGTCGCCCGCAGAAGTAGGATTGGTGGATGCGGAAGATTCCACAACCATCGGCGTCCCTGACTCGGTGGTTTCCATCGACCTGACTTTTGCCAAATGGTAGGCTGGAGTGGAGGGAAGTCCCGGCAAAAGGGAAATGGCCTCGCACTCAGTTCATCAATGTTGTCAAAGCCGATCGCGGTGGGTCAAGAGGACAAACGTCTGGATGCGCCCCAGTGCGGAGTCAGCTACCATCGTCCAACGTTCGTGCGAGATTGAGGTGTGCAACAAGCAACGTTTTGTCCGCAAGAGAGGAAGGAGTGTGAGATTGCCATTGCATAAAGACAAAGAGCAACGTGGGCGATGGCGTGTCTTTGTACCATCCCAGTTCTGTGTCTCCACAGTTGGCCGTGCAGGTTCCACAGTCCAACCAGATGGCAGTAAGGGACAAGCTGCATCCGGCGCGCGTACGCTCTTCATGTTCATTCGCTCGTGTCACTCGCTGGGCGCTTGCAAGGGCTCCATCCATTCCGCCACTCGCTCCATCGGGTGCTTGAACACCACCAGCCTCATTTTGTTCGATTGAGGCTATGACCGATCACGAACAGTCGCTGCCGCTCCAATCACGCCCCTTAGTGTCACCAGTGATGGCTGGTTCTTGGGTCCAGGGGACAAAATAGAGAAAAAGGTCCAATATCCCAACATGGCCATGCTACGCTGACGGGTGACTTGTAGTCACCAAGGGGCTGGGCTGAGGTGAGCTGAACTGTATTCCTGCTCGGGCGGCTAATTTAACCGCAGCCATGCGGGGTGCGGGGTTTGGCGGGCAGCTGGCGCGCGAATTGAAGTCCAGCCCGCCCCACTTCGTTTGTGCAAACCCCGACCAGCGACCACTTGAATTCCGGCTTGGCTCTTAGCTCAAATCTACGCGTGGTGGCCCTCTCGTGTAGAACGCGATCTCTACTACATACAGTAAAGTCCATCGTGTATAGGCTCTGTTAAGGTGATTTGCCTCTATCTTGGGTCAGCATACCCACAGTGCCGCCTCGACTATAACTTTGAAACGGCCCTCGGGGGCGATCAGAAGGAGTGTAAGCCTAGGAATAGCGGCTTAGGTGCTGGTGGATGACAAGATCATTGTGTGGGAAGACGTGTCAAGGGAGAGGATGAGATCATCCAGTGGAAAAATGGAGCACCAGCGACAGGAATTGTTGTCGTTCATCCTTTCGTCTCTCATATCTCTCCATCTGGTAAACCGGCTGCTCTTACATCGGCGGCTAAATCATGGACCAAGCCCAGGTCACCAAAGTTGATCTGGCCATCTCCGTCACGCAGTGACTTCTGCCAAATCTCGACGTCCACTTCGAGTGCATCCCAGCAGCATTGCAACTGCCACGCCGCACAATTGCCGGCGTCAAAAAGCGTGGAGAGTGTGTCGGGAACCAAGTTACCGGCCCACAGCGGCAACTCACTGGGTTCTACGCCCACCAGCACCTCGTAGACTCCCATGGGTGCCACAGCACCACAATAACGGAACTTGCGTTTCCCCATCCGCTGTCGTAATTCCAGCAGCACCTCTGAGTCCATGAGCGCTGTCACAGGGACCCAGCGTAGGAAGAACCATCTCTGGCAAAGAGCATGTTTCTTCAAAGGAAAGCAAGCAGGGTGAGTGCAGCACGGACTACCTCTGCATGCTGCTGTGGCCGACTCTCCTGGAGTAGGTGGGTCGACAAAAGAAACCTTTCGTTTCAATCCCATATCGTGCACTCCGTTTGAACTCTGCTCAAGTCAGCACAATGCTATCAGCATGTCCCAGGAACGCAAACACACTGCCGTGTTTTGGCCGCTGCTCCTTCCGTCGCTGCTAACCTTCTACCGGACTACTCACATGCATTCACGTGCGAGTTGTAGACTTGGCATTTCCGAGAAAAGGCTGTTTGCCTTTCGGTGAATGGTCCCTCTATGTCGCGCAGTTGGGGTAAGAAGAACTTCGCCGGCACGTGACAGTGTCACGTGGAAGAGGGGCAATCCGCCCCACTCCTTGACAGACACGCTGAATGTCGTTCTGCAGCCGCCAGTAACATTCCTCTCGTTACCTGCGCAGGTCTCTACGCTTTTAATAGCATCGTCGCTTGCTCCAACAGTTCCCTCAAGGAACCATCCACTGCGTTTTGTACCTGGCCGTCACCTCCGGTCCCTTGCACTCTCATCCACTCGCACGCCCGTGCGCCAAGCACTGCCTTGCCTGGGTAAGCCTACTTCATCTCTTCTGTGCCGACAAAATTCCTTGGTAGATGGAGACCTACGACAGGAGGCACGACGCTAAAGTATGAGTAATGATAGGGAATGATCGAAATGTCCGTGGCCATTGCAGTCACTCACCGAAGTAATACAAAAATTGGAATGCAATACAAAATGCCACCTGCGTGGAAGTGAAGGCCTATCCGCTAGAAAGATGACATTACAACAAAGACCAAGTGAGAAAATTTTACATACATCCACGATCCGCGTCTCTCAGCAGTCTGTGCCAAAGCACTACTAGTTGCAACAGCTTCTCCATACAATACTTCTAGCAATCACGATACGCAGCCAGGTTCAATTAAGCATAAAGAGCGTTAACCGAATTTTGGTCTGCAAGAAAACGACGCGTAGTCTTATCCATGCTGAGGTTGCCTGAATCCCAGTAGGCTGTTCACTTATCTGCTGTCCTGTGCCTGCTCAGTCCGACTTGTCCATAGAGAGTTCACGATCAACCCGGGCCACTACACAGTAGCAAAGTTATTCCTGTGTCACTGCTGCAAGCCTTCGTTCCTTGATCGTCTGGCTTATTGTATGCCTGACTACAGAATGAGCCACACCCAGGAGGACACGTAATCGTCGGACAGGTCTTTCTGTCAGGAATAAGTCCAAGCCCGTAATGACAAAATTGCCGAGGTTCGTGGTCGTTGATATCCGAAATATCATAGAACAAATCCGGCCACACAGCAGGGTCATATGTATATTCCAGCTGCGTCAACGGAATGCCACTGAGGTCATTCCCGTCCTTTCGATCGCCCATTCTAGGATCAGACGAAACCTTGATAGATACGCCCGTCGGAGGCCAGCCGGCCATGGCCATCTTCAGACGATAATTCTCTTCGTAGGTTTTCCCAGGTTGCAGTGTTGTAATGGGAAAGTTGCCATCTACTTGGACAGGTGATAAGTAAACAGGAAAGCTGCAGTTGTTGTGCACACGAGCTTTACTAACTGCGTAAACACTGGCAATGAGTAATGCAAGAACAGAGGCTATAATCATCATATGTGCCAGCTGAGAGCGGTTGTGTCTGTAGTCGCAAGGTTCAAATGCTGACGTGCGTCCTGTACTACAGTTTAGTGGATAGTCATGAAGACTATAAAAAGCCAGAAGAGTCTCCTCAGCACTCGCACTCTATAGCTCCCCACTTGCTCTGCCGCCAAACAACTGTGGCCAAAGCTCGGCTCATGTGGCACAAGTGAGAAGTGTATGTGTCTTTGATGGCTCCTTGCAAGCTCCGGTGTGGCCCCTATGCCTACCATACTGCGACACGGGAGTAGATGATCACAGGAGGTGACCGGCCAGTTAGACACAGTGGCACGGCACTCCTCTAACGTTTACAAAGGACACACGCTCAGAGCCCGAGTACTGATTTGGCCTTGAAACCTAGGCCAGCAGTATTCACATAACGGCGTCGCCAACAGAATCTACAAATGGCCTGGCAATACTGTACGCCTGAAAGAGACTTGGTCTGACAAGATTTCCTTGACGGTGCGCTTTCATCTCATCATGGATTAACAATACATGGGCTAGCCACTGCTTTGGAAGTGGTACATGGGATTCTTAGCCGAAGACGGACACGATCGGTGACTTCCCTGCACGCACGAGGCCGCGACCCGACTTGGAAGAGTTGCAGGTGGCAGCCCCGAATAAGTATTTTACATCTACGTGCTGTAAACACGCTGCATGTGATACGTCGAGAACACTTTGTCTTGTCAGAGGATCTGTCTTTGATGCGCGTTGCTGGATGTAGTTCAACCCTGCAAAATGATCACCGCGTTGAGAGAGCAACTATGTGACATTGCGTTCCGCTATAGTGCTACATTGTCAGAGCAGGAAGGTTTTTACGATATCTTGTTCAAACAATGGTTTAAACCGAGCAGCTGCCCTGCATAGCCTTTGGCTGCTGTGGGTATGCGCTCCTCTACATGGAGCTTCGGGTGCGGAGATTAGCCAACGATAAAGGAAGGTGCATCCTTGGTGATAAGCGCCTGCCCTATCATCTGGTCAATGAAGTGAGAGCACTTGGTGAACCACATGGTGAGATATGACTGAGCCAGGGCGACATAAGCAGAAACGGTGATGGTGAATGAATCCAGACTATTCGAGGCCATCACAGCACTCATGAAGTTCACTTATGTCCCTTGGAAGGTGGTCACGATAGCTTCATACAATCCTGGCTACCACTTTAAGACCGCCTGGGCGCTTCAAATTGTACCCAGTAACGTGAAAATTGCTTCATTTACACCAGCTCCCACCCATATCCGTGGAAGGAATGTCACGGCTACGAAAAGCCTCCTGCATGGTAGAACGAACCTGGCGGGTCGAACGATCATAGAGGCATGCGCGTGATCCGACGCTGGAGGAACGAAACGCTAAGGGACGCATCGGGGAATTAGGCAGCAGCTACGGAGCACTGGAGCCATTCATGGATCACTCTCTCGTGTATCGAGGTATCGTCTTGAACGACAACCTCTTCTCATCCCCTGCGCAGGCTTGCAGGACGTGTGGTGTGAAGCTCGCAGGCCGAGTGGTGTGAAGCAGGAAGGCTTGCAGGACAAGTGGTGTGAAGCAAAATCGGCTTCCAGGACGAGTGGTGTGAAGCAGGAAGGCTTGCAGGACGTATGGTGTGAAGCCCGCAGGCCGACTGGTGTGAAGCAAAATCGGCTTACAGGGCGCTTGCAGGACATGTGGTGTGAAGCTCGCAGGACGAATGGTGTGAAGCAAAATTGGCTTCCAGGACGAGTGCTGCGAAGAATGCAGGCTTGTAGGACGAGTGGTGTGAAGCCAAATCGGCTTAGAGGACGTGTGGTGTGAATCTCGCATGATGAGTGGTGTGAAGCATGAAGGCTTGCAGGACGTGTGGTGTGCAGCCAAACCGGCTTCCAGGACGAGTGGTGTGAAGCTCGCAGGATGAGTGGTGTGAAGCAAAGTCGGCTTGCAGGATGCGTGGTGTGAAGCATGTAGGCTTGCAGATGTATGGTGTGAAGCTCGCAGGACGTGTGGTGTGAAACTCGCAAGACGTGTGCTGCAAAGTTGTCCCCGCTGCTCGCCGGCCTTTCCGGCTCATGCCCATATCGTAGCTTCGTGATGAGCGATCCCTGCGTCCAGGTTCTGGCGAAATGGCCGGAGATCGCGGCGGACAACGAGTCAATGCGGGCTTGTACGGGACGAAACGCAACTGCACGGAACATACGCTCTTAGGATGCGCACATAGGCGGTACCGTAGCAGTTGCAGCACTTGTCAAGCTGCCCTTCTGGTAGTGCCCAACTAGATCGATCTGCCATCAAGTATAATGTGTTTAACCCTATTGTCTCTAATGGCCGCGAAAGTGCAAGCCGCCTATCTCACACGGCAACCCAGAATTTCATCGCCGTCCCACCGCATGAGTCCTCTGGCGTAGTGTCCAACGTAAAGTCCGTCTCCCAACTCAGGTTGCAGCGATCGTAGGGCGGGCCCGAGAGGCGATGTGCTCATTCTGGCTTCCCCTTCCGCCCCGGAACGGGATGCGAATGAGTCGCAGAGGAATGCGGGAGGCGGCAACGGAGGATTGCAGCCGTTTCTGGATCGCGACTTGGAGCACATTACCCAGGACAAGGGGCAAGACAGGGGTGGTGCAGGGGTGCAGACAAGGGTCCATGTCCCCTGCCATTCAGCCCACCACCACCCACTTCTTTGCTCCACACCATCGCCCTTCACCCCGTGATTCTCCACACCACTGCACCGGACACCCTGTCCGCGCTTCCCTGCAACGCTGACAGCCTCGTTTGAGCGTCGACAGTGGCTCATTCTGGGTGCGGTCCTGCAGTCGGCGGGAGAGGGCTAATTCGCATCTTGGCCATCCACCTTCCGACGTTGAAGCCTGCAGCAGTGTATGGAAGAGCCGAAACTGCCTTACATGAGAACTGGTAGAAACGGCCACGGAAGGGTCTAGTACCGACGCCCCAGACCCTCTATGTCCAGTCTGTTCTCTCATCTTCGCCCGTCGCGCACCTCCACTGTGCTTCGCTCTCGGTCTGCGAAGAAGCAACGTTGAACAGTAAGTAATTGGCCAGCCACGACAGCATCCACCACCAACAATCGTTGTTCGTATCGTCCTGCATCAAGACATTGCGATCTGTCCGATACCGCCACATTCTGAACAAAGCGCCGTCCGAATTGTGCCGTCATCGATTCTTTGAACCCCGGTGCAGCATTGCACACAGAATGCTGATCACGCTGCGATTGAAGTGTTGAGCTTGCCACTCGCCATGTCTTTCAATGTATAGAATTTATCGAAGCCTTACTGACGGTTCATACGTAACGAGGGAGAGCACCATCCCAGTCTCCAGGTACCATCACGAACTTGCCATCTAGATTGAGAACAATCGGTCACAATTGAGCCACCAAGTAATGATGGCTTTCAAGGCCTACCCAGAGAGGGGTTGCCGCAACCTTGCCTTCGACTCGCGAATCGACTACACCTCCACGCCGACGTGCTGTATGCTGCGACATGCCGATAACCCCATTACGAATCGTGCGTTAGCTCCTTGGTCTCGGACGAAAAGCCCACAGCCTGCATGCAAAGATCGGTTGTCAGCACTGCCAAGCTGGTGAGCCGCTTCCGTTGAAAAAGAGCTGCCGACAGCAATGACGACCGAGCGTGAAGTGGAGGCAATCAATACCATACGAGATACGATACAGTACAGATCCTTTTGGGCTTCGTAGCGATTTAATAAGTAAGGAACTCGTGCAAAGGTGTTGGGTTGATGGGACGCTTCCGTTGACACACGGGACGTAGCCCCCACTGACGCGACCGCCGTAGTCACGTCGGCCACGACAGTGTACGTTACCGCCCAGTCATTCGGCAGTCATCCGGCGCTTGTTGCAGAGAATAGTTCGGCGGGGGGTTTAAAGTGTTTGTTGGAACACTACGGCCGCTTCTAGGCCCTCGTGAGATACGACAACATCTTTCGCCAAGTCTACTGTAGGATAACAGTCCTACCTGCCAGACAAGGCCACCGACATGACCGAGTCGTCATGGCCCTCAAACGTCTGGATGCACTCGCCCGTGGCTGTGCGCCATATCCTAATCGTCTTGTCCTCGGAGCCCGATGTCACGAATGTAGAGTCGTGAGAGAAAGGCTACATGCGCAATGCTCCTTTTCAAGACCCATGCGAAGCGCAAGGTCAAGGATGTTGGCATCTGGTACGCTCTGGAACGTCTGGTAGGAATGAGCTGCCGCCAACAGCTGGCTCTCTGACCGACATTTCGCGATAGAAGTACGCTTTGCTTCCTTTGCAGGACGAAGAACACGCCGAGGGTGCTCCATATCCGTGAGTGTACGTCGGATCTTGGAGGAGTTGAAGATTCGAAGCTTTCATCCCGTCACATAAACCATCACGACCGAGAAATTCGGTCTTGTGTGGTAGTGGGCGCGTTTTGCGGAACAAGTTCCGTCACAGGCACGGCCCCCTGCGAGCTGTTGATTTTGGACAGTTGTCGTATGACGCCGGATGCCCCAGGACAATCTCCTTCTTTGCTGGGATGTTCGTGATGGAAATTGTTTCCAGCTTCTCCAGCTAGAGGATGAAGAGTGGTTGGGGCGAAAAGATGGGCATCGCAGTTCGTCGGAGGCTTGTCCCTGGAAACAGCTTCTGAGGCCGAATTAAGTCGCGGTCTGGAAATGGTGACACCGGCATTCATACTACGTATATAACGCAATCCCTCCATCAATCGTATCCCCAGCACTCAGACTTGTGTACATGTATCGTCACCTGCGGGGCACGGCAACTTTGAGATCGTCGAACAGAGCCATTATGATCCACGATACTGACAAGAGTACTGCGGGTGAGTTGAACGAAACCGATGCAAGAGTAGATGCCCATTCTTGTAAGGCTACAAAGCTACGAACCAGCTGTTCTCGCCATCGAGACTGACCTAGCTCAAGCTCTTGATGACGGTTTCGACAAGGAGATGGAGGAGTTCTTTGACTACATTTTCGACGCTAAAGCGTTCGAGGATATGGAGACGTATGTGAACGAAGGACCGGAGGCAGTGAGCACGGGAGTTGAGCAAAGTTCCGGCGACAAGTAGATAATGGAAATGAGCGAGGCCGGCAGGCCACGTCCAAGTTACCCGCGTTCCTAGTGTTAGGCCGAGTAGATTGAAAAGGAAAGGGAATGCTATGTTTTCCCCTGATCTTCACCTACTTGAAACAGGGAATCAGAATGTAATGTATTGGATTTGGATTTCTACAAGTGCCATCGTACTGGTGGTGGTCGCAGATGTGGTGAAGTCGTTAACGTTTGGTTGGTGGCATCAGCAGTTGGCAGTCGGCCCGGGTGAAAATCGTTCGGGGGGAACTGGGGTAGCAAGTGTCGGAGACTTGGAGCCCTTTCTGGATTGCCCTGTCAGGGATCGAGGTCTCCTCCTATTCTGTAAGACACCATCTTTTCGGGCGCTGACAACCTCCATTTCTGGCGACACCCTCTGCCCTCTTGCGATGCACGTTTCTGACGACACCACCTTCTGATTCTGACTGCGCCGTTTGTCGCACCTGCCGCCAGACACCCTTCACATCCCCTGGGAACGCCCTCATCCCTGCTGACACCCTCTCAAGGCGGCACCCACTTCTGACCCCCTGGCAGGACCCTGTCACGATGACACCCTCTTTTTATCCCTGTTAACACCTTCTCAAGACGGAGTCCACCCTCCCAAGACGGCACCCTCTTCTCATCCCTGTTAGCACCTTCTCAAGATAGCACTCTCTTTTCGTCCCTGTTGACACCCTTCCAAGACGACACCATCTTTTCATCCCTGTTAACACCCCTGTCACGACACCCTCTTTCCCCCCTTGTTAACACCCTCTCAAAACGACACCCTCTTTTCACCCCTGGCGACGACACCCTCTTTCCACCCTGGCGGTACCCTCTCAAGACGGCACCCTCTTCTCATCCCTGTTAACACCCTCCCATGATGACACCCACTCCTCATCCCTGTTAACACCCTCTCAAGACGACACCCTCTTCTCTCGGGATGACACCCTCTTCTGCTGGCGGCACCCTCTCATGACAACACCACCTCATCGATCCTTGTTCACATCCATTTTTCGGCACCACCCTCTCGTGCCATGGCCACACCCACTTGTAAGAACCAGCACACCCTCTTCCCTGGAACGCACGACTCCATTGTACCTTTGGCCACTTTCGACGCGCAGAGTGCGCAGCAAATTCCAGCTTTCCTGCCAACGTGGCCGGTCGGCTGGACACACGTACGGGGATACGGTACTGTAAGCCTGACGAAAATCACGTGGTGCTCCAGCCTCGCGAGGCGTCCCGCAATATCGAAGTATCTCGCACGCTATGACAAGCGCAAAGGGACCTGGGCTCGCTCTTCAACTAGCCACGCTCGCTCGTCGAAATCTACAATGTCGTTCGTTATGGGTGCTGCGCAGCCGACGTAGGGCGAACGAGTGGTCCACATGAGCCATACCGCGAACTACATCATTGTGCACTCTTCTAATGAGATTGGTAACACCAGGACTGCGCTTGTCAAGGCTTTCGGGAATGGTCGTCAAATGTTCGCCCCTCATCTGAACGTGTTGGATCGTGGTGATCGTCGACAGCTGTCGAAATTAATATTCG